CTCCTTCTCTGGAGATATTCAAGACCCGCCTGGACAAGGTCCTGTGCAGCCTGCTGTAGGTGACCCTGCTTCGGCGGGAGGGTTGGAACCAGGTGATCTTTAAGGTCTCTTCCAACCCCCACCATTTTGTGGTTCTGTGATTCTGTGAAGCAGAGGTGCAGCCCATGTTGGTGTTGCATACTCATGGCCGGCAACAGTCACTGCCATCAAACCGCACAGTAAATCCTATGTGACCCCATCGATTTACCAGCAATGCCTAAGTGCATATCTGGGCCCTTGGGGTTGAAGATATCCCATTTCATTTCCTCTCTATTACCTCGAAGATGTCCAAATTGGATTTTAAGGCGGGCTTTTGAGTGGATTAGTGTAATGAAATAACATGCAGCAGTCGGAGAGATGTGCTTTCTTCTGTAGGTCCTGCTCCGCCTGTCTAAACTTGAACCAAATCACTTGGAAGGCACCCTGAGGAGGAATGAGAAAAATAAATTCTACTTGCACTTATATGCATTTAAATGTGGAGGAACTCTTTTAAAATATGTGAAACTAAATTTAGAATTGCACTGCTGCACCTGAGAGCAGGTCTGATCCTGCATATTGCAAATGGTATTTTCTTTGGAAGGAGAGTGGCTTATGTTTTATAGTTTTAAGTGGCTTTTAACAAACAGTGCAAGTTTTGGACATCTGATCCGACTGTTTTACCTGTCGCAACAACTTTTTCACAGTAAGCAAAGCAAAAGGATTGGAGACAGTTCATCTTTCTTTCGCAGAAACTTGCTTGCTGAATAAAAAACCTAATTTTTACCACACATTTTTTGTCACTAAATGATAATAAACAGCAAGATGTGAAACATGCTAAGCTGAAATCTGTGTTGTTTAAATAACAGAAGTGTATAGGATGGGAGTTAAAGGGGAGTGGGGGACATGGGAATAATACTGCACACAGGGTTAAGTATTTATTGCAAATAGAGAGTAGAAAGTACATTTTAAGCTCAACAGTACTGTGAACTTTGTTAGCTTACAGGAGGGAGGTATTTTTCCTGTGGTTTATTATGTCGAATTTTCCAACTGTTATAAAAAAACAAGGAAAGAGAAAGGAAAAAAAAAAGTCGAAACCTAGCAATCTCTGCTTCGTGCCAGGCCTTTTATGTACTTTCAACACGAATGTTTATTTTTCTGCTACCTCGGAACAGATATGCCTGGTTACTGAGCTAGTTCTGCTGACTCAGACCTGACTTAAAAGCTTAGCTTTTCAGTTGCAATGGCAAGGACTTGCTTTCAAATTTAAATACTGAAAGGCCACCAATAATTTCATTAATCACTGGTAAAATTTCCCTGGGACCAGAGTTACCATCCGTGGGTTTTATGCTAGAGTACTTTTGGGTTTCACTTTCTCAGCTCTGATGAGGAGTTGGCTTCCCTTCCCTGACAAAATATCCCAGCACAATACTCATCATATTAAAAAAACCTCAACATGCTGCTTTTGGCAGAAATGCAGAAAAACTGATGTACATTTTTTCCTCAGTTGACCACTACAGCAATAGCTGTATCTACCCAATGCATCTGCTACCACGCTCTGCAGAAGCATCATAAAAAAACCATAATTCACCTGAATGTGCCAGAAGCTGTATTGTGCACCAAAGTAATTCCATGAAACTGGGGATATTTACTGTCTCACAGGACGAAAACCCAAATTCCTCCATGCTGAAGTAAGATGGCTGCATCCTGTGCCAGAGGAGGGTCTCTCTGTGTTTTGGTTTAGTGCAGAGCAGAGTTTAGAGTGATGTTGACTTATTTTTTCCCTTCTCCCTGCCCTTGCAGGGGAGACAACCACTACAGTGGCACCGTTCGTTCCTGGAGGGGTCAGCGATGGGCAGTGGCACTCGGTCCAGGTGCAGTACTACAATAAGGTAAGACTAATTGCGTTGCTGATAACCCTATTATAATTTGTAAAGTAAGAGAGGCATGGGTCATCTAGCTCTGACCTGACTTACGCAGGTGACCTGATTTTTGTTGATTTAACCAGGCACATTGCTGCAGCTGGGCACAAATAGTCTTGCTCACCTTGTCTGGGACAAAAATTCCCTCTGAGGGCTTTTGAGTTTTCCCTCAGGAAGACAAAAACAGACCTAGAAGTACTACCAGGGAGACCTTCAGGTACTTGGAACTATTTTAGTTTTCAGTTCTTTAAACGCTCACGGTGTCAGTGTATCTAAAACAACTAATTGATTGATTTGGTTCTTTTTAAAAGAGTTGTGCCATGCAGGAGCCTTCAGTGTAGTAAATACAAACTGCTGGTGTAGAATTTTCTTGAAGGAAAGCAAAATTCTTCCCTATAGCTGTCTTTTCTTGTGTAAAATGGCCAGTTTAGCTGGCACAGGCTTCTCTGGTTTGACACATTTGATTATTAAATGGTTGACATGTTTCCACAATCAAGGGCTATTTTACTAAGTCATTTTTTTGTCTGCTATATAAAAAGATATCCAAGAGAAACACAGCAAGCGTCATTGCACAGAGGCCTGGCACTCAGTGGTGGGCTCCGGGGTCCCGTCCCACAGCTGCCCCCTGGGTCGCTGTCAGGAGCAGGTTCACTTTGACTGAGCCAAAGGCGGGGGCTTTGGGCAAACCAGCCATTCCATGGAGAACCTAAAAGAGGGCTTTTAGGGTGTACGGTGTCACTGTTTACAGCTAGATGTCAGAGCTCTTCTATAACCTACAACCAAAATTAGAGAATTCATTTAGTTACTGAGAAGTGTTGCTTTTAAGTCTGACATGGTAGCATTATGGGAGATCACGTAAGGAAATAGAGGAGCATTGTTGGCTGTTAAAAAGGAAACAGGATACTGGTGTGGGAAGCTGAATGGAAGATGAAGGATTAATATGATCAGCAAGTTCTTTATCTCCCAGCATTGTATCCTTTCATCACAGTTTGTGTCGCAGTTTGAATGGGAGGATTAAAATTTTCTTTGGACTCCTGGATAGGATCTCCCAGCCTAAGGATATTTTATTGAGGAAATAAAAACCTTTCATAGTTTTATACTTAAAATTAATGTACTTTTAGCTCCCCACTATCCGGAGCACAGACAAGTAGAAGCAAAACTTGGTGGACACTGCGAAACTCTTCCTTGCAAACTGCAAGGTGCTGTGTTTCCATAGTCTGCGTAGCTCTTCGTGACTCGCTTCAGCGGAGTAAGCAGCGTGTGCTGAGATGGTGGAGGGACACTCCGGCTTTCGGGCTCCTGGGTCAGCGCGGAGGGGAGGGCACAGCTGCCGGGAGCAGCTCACTGAAGCCAAGCAGATAAGGCACCCAGGCAGCCCCCGGACACTCTTTAAAAGGCAAAGAGATCTGACATGGATGTTAAAAATAACCTCCTGCCTCATGTTCAGGGCTTGCTGCAGACTGTGTTAGCAGCTGGTGTTTTCCTGTCGTTAACACGTGCACCCTGTCATCATTTTCTTCTTCCGCCCCAGTTTTTCAAAGGGGAACGAGTCAGTCCCCGCTGCACGGGAGGAAACTCAGGGGAGAGAGGGAGAGCAGAGGGGCCATGCCAGGAAACACCACTGACTTCACTGCCTTTGCACTCGTGTGACGTAAAAGTGATGAAAAGCAGGGTCACTGTGTGGAAAGCAGCACTGTGCCCTTTACTGTCCGTGTTGGAGACCAAGGTCATCACCTTCCACTTAGCGATATTTATTCCAGAATGGTTAAATTTGGTCTGGCAGGGGGAAACTCACAATCTTGAGTAAGTAACACAGGTAGGATATGCTAACCTATATGTATTTAGCATGCTCTCAGAACTTTCCAGCGTGTCTGGGAAGTGCTTATGTTGCAGCAGCGCTGCGGCAGTGAAGGAGGGAGCGGGCGCTGCAGAGCAGTGACAGCCAAAGGCAGCCCTGCAGGTCTCCCCCCGGGCTGCCCACTGCGCCCCGCAGCAGGGCTAAGCCTTCCCCTCGGCTGGTGTTTGTTTGTAAAGCAGTTCCTTGGCTACTTCATGTTTTAACAAAGCTGGAAGTAAAGTTCCTCTGAGGGGGTTGAAAAGACAGAGATAATTTGGGGATTTGGGTTGTGCCAAGATAAACGGGATGCTGTGTCTAAACTTGACTCAGCTGAAACATGTTTGAATAACAGAGTACCCAAAACTCAGGAGTTTGCTGAAATTATGCACTCATATTATTTGCAGATACTGCATCCTGCTGCTCTTTCCCAAACCCTACTGCACAGTGTCAGGTCCTCGTCCCATCACTGCTTCAGCCCCTTTTCTCCACTCAGATGCCGCACAGCCTTCCTGAACAGGCGCAGCTCCCCCGAGCTGTCCCCCTCATCCCTGCCTCCGGCTTGCTCCGGCATTTTGCAGCAGCACCCTGTCCCTGTCTGCTGGGCCACAGAAGCTGCCTCCACCAGCATCCCCACAAGGCTTCTTACCCCTTCGTTCAGCTACCTGCCCAGTGAGCTTCTGGGCTTGGTTGCTTTTCAGACATCTCTTCCCAATGCTGTCCACAGGAAATGCATAATCCATCGTCCCAGATACCGGTAGAGATCCATTTTATTCATTTGTCTGTCCTGTATTAAAAAACCCTTAAAGAGATGTTTATACTTGCTCTTTCTTATTCCTCCATTGAGTTTCATCTCCTTCCACCTGCATTTTGCTCCATCAGCAGGTTTGCTTTATTTCATAAACATGATCACTTTTGCCTGTCTGTTCATCAGTCCCTTTCTGCGTCGCTTCCGTGCTTTTTTTGCACAGAAAAGCCCATACAGACGTTTAAAACTTTTCTTATTGTTCACATTCCCACAGCTGAGTGCTGCCAGGCTGCTCATCCTGCTGCGGGGGTCGTTACAGCTGTGCCTGTCCTCTTCCTACCCACCACAGTGTCCATGGGCAGTGAAAGGCTTCTTTGAGCTGGAATCTTTCCTTCTGCCTTGGAAATAGGAGACATGTTGTGGTGCAGGTTCAAATAAATAGCAATTCAAAAATTTCCTGTTGTGCTCGCAGCAAGCATTTGGACTCAAGTACTCTCATAGCTTCATTCTTCTTTCCCAGTTCCTTTTTTTTTTAAACTTCTTTTAAGTATCTTTTTAAGAACTAAGCTAGAAACTGTTCAGGTTATTTCCTTCTTTCCGCATTTGTACAGCATCTAGCATAAAAAAAAAAGGATTTGGTCTTCTTTGGAGCTTTCAGATAATGCTGTAATTCACATAAGGAGTACTGGATTTCATCACAGCCAAGGTTAATTTTTCATCTTTAGTTTTTGAGGAGAATGACTAACAGGCTTTGATACATAATCTAAATCACTTCAGTCCAAAGCAAGTTTTCGTAGGTGAGTTTTCACAGCTCTGAAAGCTGTTCCTGCAATCCGAGTTGATTGTGGTCAGATACGAGCAAAGGTTGAGTGGTTTTTGGCATCTGCAGCTCTGTGGATGATATTTGGCTGAGCATCACTGGAATTTGGACTCCTAGAACGGGTGACTTGGAGGTGGAGGGTGACTCTGGTGGGAAGCTTCTGCAGCAGCTATTTCCTTAACACAGCATGCAGTTCTGCAGCATCCTGGTGATGCTGCCACCCTGCGCTATGTCAGTTTGGTAATAACAATAATGAAATAAGAAGTAAGTGTCAAAGTGACTCCAGGAAATTATTTTCTGTACTCAGAAGTGATGTGCTTGGTAATATTTATCTTTAGTGTTGTTGAAAAATATTTTATAATTATCATGAGGGTCCCCAGCCACTTAGGGACAAACACTAGAGCTTCACTGGCAAGAGGTGAGTCCAGAGCCAGCTTTATGCTGCCATGTTTGCAGAGAAACATCAAACCAGTTCTCTATCCGCTCACGTGTTTGGTGCTTCCTTACAAATCCTGGTATGTGCAGGCACTGTAAAACCTTGCAGTAACGAAAAATTGTATCAGAGGAGGAAGAGAAGCAATGTCATTTCATTTACCACGTAGTGATGGAAATGGATGCTTCCTCCCCTGGTAGCAGCTGGCATGCTTGGTTTCAGTGGAAGTGCCCAAGGGAAGCCCATGGATGTGGTACTAAGGAAGCGTTGGCTCTGTATTGAATTTCTGGGAGGAAGAACACTAAGGGAAGGAATTAGTAGCTGTAAGAGAGCAGAAGTGAACTAGGAGTGGTTTATAACCATTCTCTAGTTTCAGTTGTATGTTAAAAGTCTTGTCAGCTACCCAGTAGCAAGATATCAGTTTACTTGTTAGCAGTGTTTCTTGCCATTATAGATATTTGCTGACAGCGGGGAGAAGGCAGGGAGGAAAGCTGCTCGCTGACTCTGTGAGCTCAAACACATTATTCTCTGGGATCCTGGTCTTACAGCCATTAAAATCAATGCGAGGTATTAAATTAAAGGTGACCTGCATGTGACCTGCTTTCTCAAGAGCTATGTGTATTGATAAGAAATTCAGAAGAAATGGGATTTTTTTATTATTATTTTGGAAGGAAAGGTGGGAGAAGGGGGAAGATTTCAGCCTGGCAAATAAAACTGGTAAAAAAGAGAAGCAGCATGCTGCTTGTTCACAGGATAGGTGGCGTAAGGGGCAGCAGCGATGCGAGCTGCCCTCTTTGCCTTGGTAATGTGCTTCCTTTCCACATGAGGAGAGTGCAGTCAGCCCCTGATGGAGTTTGGTCCTCATCCTCTGGCTCTCCGGTGCCTGCTGGTGTGAGTGACAATCGATAGGTTTAGCCGTGCTGATGTTTGTTTGGCATAGGAGCAAAACCACCAGGATGTTTGATGGTGACAATGCTCAGTATCAATAATATCACATGAACCATCTGGCATTCATTGCACATACAGGATCATGTATGATTATAGGCAGTGCTTGGAACAGGAGATTTTAGTGAGCATGGTAGTGGGTGGTGTTTTTAATTAAGTGAAAACTTCAAGACACTCTCCCAAACTTCTG